GCACCTCTGGTTACAGCTTGTTACCAACTAACTGCATTTTGGTGTTGTTCGGGATATTGACTAAAACAGAGTCACCTTGCAGTCATGCTAAGCACTCATACTATCAGAAATGACTGGAAGAGTGGGAGCTTACAAGCTCTGAGCTGTTAGTACAGCTGGGAGCTGTTAGTACATGGCCGTCAACACATTGAGGAGCCATCCGCCGTGTGGTGTAACGCGAGTGACCTACATGAACTGCTACTGACGATTAAGGAGTACAAAACACTCACCCTTTCGGACTGTGTGGAGGCCACCATGCAGCAATCGTCGATGTACGGCAATAGCGACATACGAGCAAGTACCGACTCTCGATTCTGCTCACAATGCAGATTGCGGAAATTGGCGCTGGCGCTGACCCATAGCCAGCCAGAGTATCTGAGAATAGTTACTCCAGCGCTGGAAAGGCTTGATCATTTTCTACATTTGTATCACATCAATGACTCAATTACAATGCTCGAAACAAACGCGCTCCGAAGCTGTTCTACAAATCCCTGTGAGTTAGATAGACCTGCAGGTAATTGGACAGCAACTGGCTCACTATTTTGTTCAGAAATTCAGAAACCACGATATTCTGTCGATGGGTCCTCCAACGCACTGATGATTGGTCTATTTTGTAGGTATCCTTCGACATTAAATTTACTTCGTGCAAGGAGAGCTTGTGCCTTTGATCAGGCTGTAAAAAACTGGAGAAAGTTGGTTTAATCGAGCTTCAACCCACTTATGAATCTGTCGCTGTGTCCGGCAGATTTCCTATTGCATTCCACGCGTTGCGCAAACTTTTACATTGAGTTTTCTTTCTCAAAGACTTCGCTATTTAAGGTCGCGCCCGCAAGAGCTGAGCCGCTGTTATTCGGCTTATTCTTGCGGTGTTACCACAAATTCGCCACCCTTATCGCTCACTGACAAGTGTAAGGGGCCGTTCGAAATGAGCTTACGAATCTCTTTGAAACTTGCCACTGACCTCGTGATATTTTGCTCTAGTGTTGCCCTTTGAAATTGTAAGGAAGGCACAGGAGCGAGGCGCATGGAGTCAGGGAATATTTGGAGTCAAATGTAAGGTTCCTTCTTATTATGAAGGGGAGACTGCTAAGTAGGTTCTGGATATCTGCAAAGATACAAATGAATAAAAAACGAGCGCCTCTCGATTTTCCAGTTTCTCATCCTTTGTTGAGGTTCACAGGCTACTCTTACATTAGTTTTACTTAATTGTTTGAAGTTCTGCCACAAAAGTTGTAAAATGAGCTGTTAAAGGACAAAAAAGACACAAATTGAAGGAGGTAAAGCGCTAACGATATAGAGAAAGCATTGGTAATCTAGTGATATAAATCTGACAAATTTTCTACACTGCTGCTTCCCCCGCGCTGTTACTGTAACGCCGCGTTGCGACGTTTTCCATTTTTCAGCACGTAACGAGCGCCCCCCCCCCCCTCTCTCGATCACTGCTAATTTCCTTCCTTTCATCTCGTTATGCCAGCTATAGATCACATTCGATGTATGTATATCTGTAGAGCGACTCATTCGTCCACCGCGGCCACTCACTTCCGGTGGGGTCACGCATAGGTGACCTTCCAGTATGTCATCCTTGCTCTGCACAATTTCCACACTACTAAGGCTGAGGGAAAGCTAAGAAAACTCATTAAAGGCGTTTTGTGGTGGGGTTAAGTCATAGGTGACGTCAAACCATTATCAGGCCTCTGAGGAAGACGAAGGCGTCGAAACGTTGGGCCGAAATGGAAATAATGACTTGTTTGGTAAACAGACGTGTGCGGCACAGAATTAAGTTCAAGAACGAACATGCCCGGTATTCATGAACCTGGAACTTTGATATTTTGAAATTTTTTGCGAACAGGTTTTCAAAAGCTCGGCTCACTACATATCGCGAACGGAAGGACTCCGATAATCGTGTAATCAAAGTAGTTTTCATAGATTTTCAATGAATATGTGCGGGAGAACTCTTCAAAAAGGCTGGTGAAATCTAAGAAATTTAGGACCGCTCCCCAGGACTTTTTCTCTCTAAGCAAGAAAGTAATCTGCAAATCAGATTTACTTTTAGCAGGCTAAGTAATCAAATTGTGAGCAAGATTCTAGAGAATGGTTCTTTGATTCTTTCTCTTATTTAGACTTCGAGTCGTCGACGGGTTTTGACTGAATGATGTCCCTGAAATTAACAGAAGCTTCGCTTATAGAGGACTTTCAATCGCTGTATACCAGTGGCGGACCGAGGGCGGGGGGGGGGGGGGGGGGGGGGAGGGGCGGGTGGGTTAGAAATTTTTGGAATTTGCTTACATGGGTTATAAAAATGTGCAAGTGACTTGTTTATTCTTGTAAATAATTAATATATTTTTTTAAATTTTTAAAAAATTCAGATTAGTCTTGTAAACAAATTTTTTCGGGGGCGTGTTGTGGACCCGCAAAAATTTTGCGAAACACCCCAAAAAATTTTTCGGGGTGCGTGGCTCAAGCCACGCACCTTCATTTGAAAAAAAATTTTGCTCACCCCCCCCCCCCTCCGGTCAGAAATCCTGGGACCGCCACTGCTGTATACAGATTCTTATGTGAGCTACAAGGTCTTTTACCAAAGTTATATACAGTAAGCTATCGCTAAAACATGCAATTTCGTATAGCTTCGCTAGATTCTAGAAAACCTATCTCCTCCTTTCTATGGTATGAAACTAGCGTAACCGTGCTCTCAGACTATGTTCGAAACCGGCCATACTATTCCAGGAAATGATTGCTGCAACTCCTGTGATTGCTGCATTTCTTGTGAATGCGATGTGTTGCGCTACGGAGCGCTTTGCGACTTTCAGTATACATTGTTTTTTTGCAATATGCATTGTTACGGGACTCGCAGAAATCACAGGAATCGCACGAATTGAGGAATCACAGAAAGAGTATGGCCGGTCTTTTCGACTCATTAACTATTATCGTTCACCGATGTGTTTGTCTAAATAATTGGGCTTTCCCATAAGTTCCGTCTGTTTTCACTTTTCATCCCGATAACCCCTTTTTTGACTCCTGTAAAAGCTTCAAGATACACTTTCGCACAAATTCAGTCCCACATTGAGCTAAAATTCACTATTAATTTTTAGAATTTCGAGAATTTGAAGAAAATCGGAACTTCGCTCAGAAATTTGTAGAAAGCTCTAAATTGTCCACGCATACGTAATTGGAGCTGCTTCTTAGAGTTTTGTAGTTTGATGTGCAACATTCTCGGTTGGGCCTCTCCGCCGCGTTTTTCTGAGTATATGGAAATTTGCCGTGATGAGCTGAACATAATGCTTCTTTTACATTCAAAATACAGCTCTGATATAACGCTGTATTTTGCGTGATTCGTGTGTTTTCGCGGAAGCAACAAAATGACGATTATCGCAGAATATAGTAGGGTTACCGCAATGCCGCTGCATGTAACGACTTCCCCCGAGATTTTTCACGCTTTGAGTGGTTTTGTAACAAACAGACTCGCTTGAACTGCGAGTACGTTATTAACCCTGAATCCTAAATTTTAGTTGTTTAGTCAACAAATCCTCCATTACCTTCCAGTCCCTTTTTTTCGTAAATACTATGAGCATTTTCTCCAAGAATGACAGCAGCTCACCTAGCCTTAGCTACATAGTATGACGTGTTGCTCCTGAACATCATCAAAATTCATACATTGCGTTTCATAAAGTCACAAAACCACTACTTCCCAACAGACAAGGAAGGTGGAAACGCTCCCTTCCTTCCCCTCCTCCATCTTTCATCCCTTCAAGTACGCAACTCGTAATTCTTGAAAGGTGCAAGACGAATGTTTATGACTGTGAATCATATAAAAAAGATTTTTCGGACACTAAGGTTCTCTTCCATCTTCTCCACCATTTTTACCCCACCCATCTTTACTAAGAAGAATATCGCTTTCACCGCATCATATGTTGTCTCAACTTCACAGAAAGAAGTGTCGATCTCCCGATTGTCAAAAATGACATTCATTTCTCAAAAAAAATTGACATCGTTCATATGTTTGGCAAGTTGTACGAAGAGTTTTGTGCAAGGTGATCGTAAATTTTTCTAGCCATTTTTTTTTTCAAAAAAGAATCAACACGAAATTTCGGGATCATTTTCAATGCTCTAGTACCTCACCGTCAATGATTTGAAAAATACGTTGAACTAATCAAAACGTGACCATTTTTCTGACGGCAGGATGACGGTCCTCAAAAATCTGTGAGAATCTTTTTCCAAATCCAACATCTTCTTCATTAAAACATTTCTGAAAGAAGGTCTGGATAACAGACAAGTACCATTCATGAAAACCGAATTAGCTGTGGAAAAAGATTGGAGTGCCTGTGTACAACTTTTTGTCAAAAGTGCACTTTCTGCATTAAGATACGCAAACAGTCAATGTAAAAATTATTCGATGTATTCGACTTCAACATTGACGTCAATGCCAGCTTCTGTCTTTCTCTTCTGAGCTCAAGCAACGTAACACAAACGTCTCGAAACTATAACAACATAGATAAGCCTCGCTTCCAGAACTATGTATGTTCAAGTGGGTATTTACTCTGTTATTGTAGCCCTGAATACTATTATAATATGTTTCGATTTCATTATACTTTGGGCAGCTGTGAAAACTCGTGAGATTTTGCGCAGTTCTGTGCTGCACATAATTGTCGCCGCTATTATAATGGACATAGCTGCCTATCTCAATGTTATACTACACGATGTACCTAGTTATGCACTAAAGAGGGACTTTTCTAGTTCGTTTTAGTTCTTGTGTATTTTGTAAAGCAAAATGTATATTTCAAGCTAATACAACAAGATATGTATCCATTACAATACTCTTTGCGCAGTGGTTCTCGCAACTGTTTTTTCTACCTGTCTTGTCTTTTACGCATTTTTGTGCCATATTTTATCCTACTAAGTACCGCAACTTCTCGGTAAGACGGCTATGGTTCGCCAATATCCTTATACTAATAATCAGCTTCGCAATGATAAGTGAGTAAACTTACCGAACAAAACAGATGCCCCAAGATTTTCTTTTAGCTCCACTTTACACAAAATACTGCGGCTACATCTACATAATTGATGGAAATTACTGGTATTATGATTATAGCAAGCCTTACACGTACATCTACTGGTATCTCAACATCGCCCTTCAGGTAAAATTGCTTACGTAGATGATGCATTCAATGAGAAATTTAGGCGATATGTGTCACAATTGTTGTATCAAGTGATTCGTTGATTGTTTGGAAAATTATTAGCTTACGCTCCCCTCGCCGACCCAATACAACTCACGTCCTGCCAAAGTCATCATCTAAGGATGTGGTAGAAACAACAAAAAGAATTCGTGTCCGCAGTCGACAACGGGAGTCGAGGCTGGCTCTAAATTTCGTTTTATCCAGCGTCTGCTTTCTCATCATGACCATATGCTTCAATGTTGATTTTGGGTGAGTTTCGGAAAGTTCAAAATTTGAAAGTCAAGCGTTGTTCCATTGTGGATCATTAGGTTTTCTCATAAGGCTTCATACACAGATTGATTTTTCGCAAAAACTAGAGCACCTACAGGGCTACAAATTTTGGCAGTGTTTCTGTGTGAATAAGCTATTTTAAATATTTGCGAGGAATACAGGACCGCTGCAAGCACATTCTCTTCTTTTTTGTTCATCAAAAAATATCAGCAATCTGTTGGGAAAATCATATGCCTGAGCGAGTGGGAATTTTGCAGAACTGTTTTGAGTTGGATACTATCAATTTCGTTTTTTTTTGAAATTTGGATTTTTTTCTATTTTGCTTGAAACGCATTGCGGATCAAGCTTGGTGCGAATTCTTGAGCCATCTTGTAGAGCTTGCTTTGATCTGTGGAATGATGCCCGCAATCTAAGAAATACAAGAGAACTAACTTATTTCGGTGAAAATTCAAATCAAATAATAATAGAATAAATAACTCTTGGAAATGAGGAAAGGCTGGGGTGGAGTTTAAGAAAAGTTGCAGAATAATAATAACCAAGTGCATAATTTTCCTAGAGTTAAGGAATCTAAACAAAAAATTTGTGAAGTTTGAGTGAAAGGTTCCAATATAGTGAATTTTACGAAAAGCTAAAGCCAAAGCTTTTAAACTTTTACCATTACTTCCCCAGTCGGCCTATACCAAAAAATGTCTTCTCATAGAGCGTGAAGTGCATTGATTGCAGGAATGGAGTATGGCAAGATGTCGTCAGGAAGTTCTCCTTGCTTCTCAGCCTGGCTAAATGGGCTATATATTCGATGGGAATTCCTTCCATCCGGGCAAAAATACTCTATCTCTTTGCTCTCAGCAAAGTTGATTACGCTGCTGGTGCAACTTTATTTCTGACATCAATCAACACCGTTCGACGCATGCATCACTTTCTACCTGCTCACAAAGAACAATAAACTTTTTGTTCTGGTTGCAGTTTGCCCTTCAGTTGCCCGAAATTGTTTGAACAGGATCAGGAGCGTCTTAGCTGAGTTGTTTAGCAATAGTTTGGAGCTTCACTTTTGAAATTGAAATTTACGAAAACAATACCAACAGAGGATTGAGACTGTTTTCATCAAATTTGTCGATTTTTTGCAACTTGAGTTACGCGCCTGGGAACTGGCAAAAGGGCTAAGTGAGCATGATGACAACGAAAGTAAGGCTAATTTGCTTAAAAAAACCATTGACTTCATCGATTTCATCGATTATTGCAAGCTTCTAGCTACACTGGAAGTTGGCACAAGGGGAGGGGATAATTGAGCTTGCTGATATTATATTAGGTCGGTACGAAAGTTTGTGCCGTTTTTCAAACCCGTGCTCAAACCACTTAAAATAAGGATAGACAAATGCTGTAAGCATTGTCCGACGCAGAATATCTTCCTTTTGTAGCAATTATGCTTCCGTTCAGGTTCCCTTAATGTTCGCTCCATAATCGGCGGGAATCAATTTCCAACCCATGATTTTTAACCATCTTGAGTTTGGCAATTTTTTGATGTTTCCATATTCAAATTTTGGACTAGCTTTGATAACAGTTGTATAGAGTAAATAAAATGCAAAATGAACTACAGTACTAACACTGCCGCCTTGAAATCCTGCGATATAAACGCGTTGTCGCGCCGAAAATGTCGCATTGCGATAACTCGCTTAAACCTCAACCAATTGAACTCTAGCTTAGATATTTGAAACCAGCGCCTTCTGGACAATCTAAAAGTGTTTTCAAAAGTCTCAAAACTTCCTTCACAAAGATCTTTTTTTAGGACCATCGGCGTTATAAATGCATTGCGGCGTTGGTATCGCCGCACTCCCATAACTTTGTTCAACCCAAACATATGAAATTCTAGTTCAAATATTTGAAACGAGCGTCTTCTAAACTACCTAAAAACGTTCTCGAAAATTTCAGAAACTTGCTTACAAGTTTTTCTGGCTCCACGCCAGCGGCAATCTAAACGCAATGTCGCGCTGGAACTGCCGCATTACTGTTACTCGGCTCAAAGTCCTTCAGCTGAAATTTTGATCAAAAATTTGGAATCAGCGCGTTTTTATCTATTTATGGGTATGCTCAAATTCTGCAGGATCTTTTGTCTTGGTACAATACCATTGGTGCCGCCTTTAAAACTTCTGAAATAAACGCGATGTCGCGTTGAAAACGCCGCAACCTCACAACTCCCTTGAAATCATTCTCAAGAAGAGGGAAAAACATATTCGGAGTCAGCGTCCTTCAATCTATATCTATCTGAAGCCATGTTTTTATTTTCGTAAACTCAAAATTTTTCATTTTTCCAGTAACGTCACGGTAAACATCTCAGGTCCTGGGATTTCTAGCCCATAAGTCGGTTTATAGCTGGAAATAGAATAGATTCGCTGGTATAATTCATTAGATACCTTGGAAATTTCTTCCTTTTTATTTTTCATGAAGTTTTGGAAGTGTAGAATTTTTTTATTTTAAATAAAAAAATTTTTTGTAGGTGAGCGAAATGTCTGAAGTTTGAAGGACCATAATTCAAAAATCAGTGATCATAGACGAATCATTCAATGTTAGCAAATGAAGCAACGAATTCTCTATAAGATTTTTGCAGAGTTACCTGTTTTCACGGGTTTTTATGCGAGTTTTATGAGCCCGAATTCGGGTGAACATGCTCTAATTGTGTGATACACTAATGTGGGACCATTTTCAAAAGACCATATCGTAAGGATGGACGTGGTGACGTGCAAGAATTTCTAAATGTTGGCAAAATAGGCTTCGCTGACAAGAACTGCATGCTGGTGTCTGCTTTCCAGAGCAACTAACCGCACTGAAATGAGCAGAAAAATTAAGATTTACGGATTACAACCTTGATTTTGAGCGTTTTCTGTAATCTCACCAAACATCATAATTGTTACATATTCTGAATCTGCACACAATAAGCTTTTCAAAATTATATAAATTAGTCCCTCTATCGGCACAGAAAAGTGATCTGATTTATTATCTGACTCTATTTGATCCACTAATTGAGCTTGGGTGCACCTGCACCCAGCTGTGGCACTGGCCTATTCGCACCTCGCAGGTGCAAAGGTGCGAATTCTATCCCATAAACTATCAGACTATCGATCGACTTCATAGAATAACTTATCTCGGTCAATGAAAATTAAGCATAAGCTTTAGATCTAGTGGGATAATTTAACAAAAAGGGGTTTTACGCAAATTTGTGAAAGTTTGACGATTCACTGTTTTTTCCACTTTCGCCGTTTCAATAACAATCATACAAAAGTTTTCCGATTTTTTACCCTGTAGAAAGAGAAAAATCTACGGATTGAGAGATCTGCTTTTCACCACATATTCACTCACTTCTTAGGAGCTCTAACATAAACTAGGTGGAGTCTCGCTTTGTAACGCCTGGATTGATATGAAAAGTTAAGTTCCGTAAAGACTGCATTTTTTTTAAAGAGAAATTAATTTTCGTCATTTTGCGTCATCACAGTTAGGGGAGGGCGTGCAGGAGTTCCTAGCACCTTTCCTCGCAGCAAGTTCGCACCAGCATTCGCACCCAGGAGGGTTTTAGCACCTCCGCGCTTTAGAGGTCAGGCCACGCCCATTGCTCCACCCAATTACTGGTCTCATTGTGAGGTGTGCATACAGAATAGAATAGAATACAGAATAGCGAGAGCATAGAATCAGTATTAAGGTAACAAGAGAGGAAAAATGGACAAAAAACGAGTTCCATAGCTATTATTTATAAATTGAGGAGAATTGGAAACTCTGCTACGCCATCCTTTCAAAAATGAGCACTTGACCATTATTCTACAAAGAGATAAATTGCACATTATTTTTCGTATAGGAAACTCGGTCATTCAAAAAATCAGAAAAAAATTGATCAGTTGTAAATGCCTGGTCATCTTGAAGTGATTCAGCATCAGGAGTTGAATAACTGAGTGACGAAGTGGTGTAAAACCCTCTTACCTTCTCAGCGTTAGAATTACCTATTTTGAATGGTATATCAAAGTTCCCGAAAAAGCAGCTCAACGCTATTTCCAGTAGTTAGGATATTGAACACATACACTTTCCTATTCGTTTGCCATCGTTGTTCAATGAGTTTCTTTTTCGGACCTACTGTGATGATCAATAAGATCCTAATTATCAAAAACCAATTCTTAAGTGTAGCATCTCCTACAGTCGATGTACTAGAATACCAAGGCTCGTTTGCATGTGTGATTGAATAGCTGGCTAAGAGTTTCAAATACGACTCTAAATTTGCAAGTTATTTCAGTTTGCTGTAATTCTTAGCTAAACATAGAGCTTGGGTGTAATTGACTTATCTGTTATATAATGTAATTGGAAGACTCATAACTTCTGCTTGCTTTATATTACTATGATATGCTTCACAATCTTACTCAAGCGCGAGCACTTACAAAATGGAGAACATCATTCCGAAACGTGAGTAGAACGTATCTCGAAATGCCTGAATCTTAGTTGTAATCATTTACGCATCCTAAACCCTTAATGAAAAATTTTTTTGTTCCTCAATTTCAGTGCTATTATCTTCAAAAACTACACATGTTACAGTGCGTGCACACAACTCTTAATGAGGGCACCTCATTAAGGAGATGGTCTACCCATAATCATCTGGAAGATGGTCTACCCATAATCATCCAAATCAACCTGCATCATGGTTGATAGAGTAATTTATTGACAAAGCATTTCAATGCCTATTTTAATTATTTACGAAGTCAACTTTTCGAATTATCCGTTTTTTTTTCAAAAAACTGAAACTGATCTTTCGAATAGAAAAATTCATGAAAGCCTTAAATGATTCTAGAATTATGAGCCAGACTACAAATTCTGTGTTTTCAACGA